TGTTCCTCCGTATGCCAGTCAGCCCGAGGCGTGTGTGTGTTTGCATGTGGGTGTTGGTGTCACGTGACCTGACACTGGCAGGTAATTATGCACATAAACCTGTTCATTAGTTCTGTGGAAGCACTAGAGAAACGTTTAATGGGATTCTATATGAAACTCTATACTTTACTCAATTTTAAAGCATGTTTACGAGCTGTTTAATTCATAAAATGTAAATAAAATGAAAAATGAAGAATTAAATAAGTCCATAAAGTGATGGAACCCATAAAATGTTCTATATATGAAGTGTGTGAAAAATTAATAACATTAATAAATAACTGAATAATTAAATAAAATAGATAAATAGATAAATATATGTGATAATAGGAAAATAATTAAAGTAGTAAACGACATGATAAAATTAATATGATTAATTCTTTTAATCAAATTTATTTTTGTATTATTTGTCCCCCTAATTTATTATTTTTTGCTTTTATTTTTTAACATATTTTTATTCTTTTTAATTCAATTAATTATTTCTTTATTTATTTTTCCATTTATTTTGATTTTTATTTATGCATTCATTTATTTTTAGATAGAAATATTCTCTCAAAAGGCTTTGACTCAGAGTGCAATGACCTTTACAGACCGGACATACACACTTCTGTTTTGATGTTTTTAGCATCTCTATTGGCTGAATAAACTGTAAGAGAGACTCACACTCCTGCCAGGACCTCGATGGAGCGTGTGTGTGGGCCGTAGTGTGTGTCCGACGCGTCTTCCAGCGGCTCCAGGAGGTCGATACTGACGCCTAGCTCTGAAAAGTCCGGCTCACTAAACATCTTCACATGAGGGGAAGAGAAATCCTGCAAAACAAGCCAATTCAAAGCATTTTACGGTCTTCTGTTCCCACTGGAGGATTGTCTCGCATTAGAAAGGTGAAGGCTGGTGTTTCCTGGCATTGTGCGTCCAGAGCATAAACACTGCAGGTATGCGGCGGAGATTGCGTAACGCATAACAAAACCTACATTATAGAATAACACTGCTAAAAATTAAACACTGTCTAGTTATCCAGCACGAATATCCAAACATTCTTAAATCAAGATACATTTACTGGAGAAGCAAAATGACTGAAGATATTAAGTCTTGTTTACTGAAAAATGCATCAAAATGAAGTGAGTTTTTGCTTTATATAGTTTTTTTTCTGAGATATGTGTTCTTGTTTTGAGCATAAAATTGCTTAATTTAATTTTATTCTTAATATCTAAAGTCATTTTGCTTCTCCAGTAAATGTATCTTGATTTAAGAATGTGTCCAAGGTCAAAAAACACTTTAATTTTCTAATAACATCACCCTTATTTTCTCTCAGTGTCTGAAACGGTTCGTTCGGAGATTCAGCCTCTCTAAGCCCCGCCTCTCTGAGAGCTGCTCTGCTGTGATTGGTCAGAAAGCAAACGCTCATTATCATATCTGACTCTCAGCTCTTGATCACAGTGATACGAACAGTAACGATGGCGTGGGTTTCACCGTATCAATCTCAGAAAACAGCGTCTCCTCGACACGAGCCGAACTCTCCCAGTCTCAGATACACTACAGTGTTTGAGGGCGGAGCTAAGAGACGCTGCTCAGCCAATCAGGACCAGAGGCGGGGATTATGCAAATTAGTTACATAGAAGTGAATTGGTTAATGATAATGAAGCTTCCTCTAGTGAAGAGACTCACCATGAAGACGGGCCTCAGCGAGAGCAGCTTCTGCCCCGTCCCGCCCCAGTCTCTCCAGTCTAAATACTCTCCTTCCTCCAGGATGAACTGGTGCCCGTCGAAACCCTCGTGCTCGTATCCAACCCACCTGAGACGAGTCAGGAGTAAAGCAGTCATCAAATATGTAACCCTGTGGTGCTTTTCGGTCCGAAAAATTTTACGTTTTTTTTTGTTGTTGAATTTTCTACTTCATCGGAATGGTCCGAAACTCGGTACAGGTTTTGTCACTTGCTGTGTGAATACACACATAAATCATGGCCATGATGTGAACAGTTTAATGGTCCAGTAACAATATTCACACTTGAGCTCCTCGCGGCCAGAAATGGCGCACTGGAAATGAAGAGAGAGTTTCCTCTAGTGGAAGCGTTTGGAACTGCAGCCGAACAACATCTCACTGGAAGATCATTCACTGAGAGATCAGCCTCACACGCGGAGACCCCGCTGGACACTCTAGCCTCGCATCCACTCAGCTTTACAGGAAAACGCGGGTTTGAAAATATATATTTCATATAAAAATTGAAAATAGTATTTTTGTGCATTTTTCATAACAATAAACGACAAATTCTGGTCATTTTAAATTCACTTTTTAAAACTATCTCACTTCAGCAATAATCTGCCGATTGTCGTGTTTGAGGAGAGATCAAACTTCAGTCTGTCGCTCTAAAGCGTTCAAGATTAACCACAGTTTAACTTGGAAATTTAATTTAATTTTCAGGTCTATGCTCAAAAAGTGAGTAAATGGATCATAAATACAGTGGAAATATAATTTAGTATACAAAAATCCCCTAAAAATACAAAGTATTAAATAAAACTAGTGCTGTCAAACGATTAAAATATTTAATCACGATTAATCACATTAATGTCATAGTTAACTCGCGATTAATCGCACATTTTTATCTATTCTAAATGTCTCTTGATTTCTTTTTGTCCCATTATTTTTTCTCATTTTAATGCTCTTATCAACATGGAAAAGTGGATCGGCTTGCTTTGTGCAAATGTTTTTTATTGAAAACAACATTGACATATACTGTGTTCAATTTCACACTAACATTCTCACTTGGAGCAAATAATCTCTCACACAATGTAACACTGTCCATCAATAAAAGGGTGAAAGAAATACTGACGAGGTCCTGATATTGACGAGGGGGCGGAGAATTCGCATCAGCTGTGTGTGTGTGTGTGTGTGTGTGCTTGGCCATCATCAAGTGGTGTTTCAGACTGGACGTGCTGCGATGATGATAGCTCAGTTCACAACGACAAAACACACAGATCACTTTGGTCTCGTCAATGGAACCATTTGGCAACTTTTTAAAAGTAAACTTTCAAATCAGAATCTTATTGGCATCCATTTCGGCGTCTCGCGCTCGTCATCCACTCAAAAACGTAAGGTTAACCTACTATTTGGCCGGCTCGCAAGCCCAAACGAGTGTGTGCGGCGTGCCTGTTGTTTTGTTTCCGGTCTAGCTAGACCGCACACGCGAAGAGCCCCATATTTGTACTGGAGAGTGTATGAAAACTCACAGGCCTCCGAGGATCTTCAGTGATTCCACACAGTTCAATCCGTGATCGTCCGGGTCGGAGAAGGAAAACACGTCTCCCTGCACCTCAACACAACGGCCCTCCAGACCGGCTTCCTCATACAACACCGCCTGAAGGAGACGAGAGATCAAAATACCTCAAGTTTTCTACGTGTTGTACATGCAACCAAAATAATCCGTTAGTAATGGGATTGACGGCTCAGTCGGGCTGAAGCTCGATCCCAATGAAATTTCGATCGGATCGGTTCTAATCCGATCGAGAGAACATGTGAACACTTGATCGGATTGAAAACCAAAACTGAAAGGACTGAAACCCAAAACTTTAACACACCTTCACTGCAGTCGGGTTCTCTACTTTCGGAAGGCCCTGTGAAAAGAGTAGATGTGAGCGGAGAAACAGCATGAAGATGTGTGTGTAACGCGAGTGTGTGAAGGCGTACCATGCGCAAGGGCCTCAAAGAGCCCACAATCGGCGACGGGAAACCCCAGTCCTCGGGGTACGGATATTCTCCGGCCTCCATCACTGCCAGCAGTCCCTGGAAACCTGGATCACTGTAAACCATCCACCTGTAGACGAGAAGCCACACCTGTCAATCATCAACCGGCCAATCGCAGAGCACCGCTGGCTATGGTGGCTTATCTGGACAAATGTTGCTGCTGTAAATCATTTTTGAAGTGCTGGTTAGAAACAATCTTTTATTTTCTCTTTCTATTCCTGCTCATATTCCACCCATATAACTTTTTCCTGACTAGTCCGTTTTTCTATTGTTTCTTCCTAATTCTCACCGTCCTCAGCGAGTTCTTGATTAATCAATATATCTGTATTTACACCATCTCTCATTTTAATATTGAGTTGGCTTGACAAAGTAGTTTTCAAGCTACAACCACCAAACTTGATGGCCTTCAGATTTACGATTCTCGTTAAACGGCGAATAAATTAGGAAAAGTCCCATAGACTTTCATTGAGGGGGTCAAGACTTTTGCACAGTATGACTTTTGAGTATTTAAGCTATCTATCACTAGCAAAGCATGACCACTATCCTAGCACAACATGTTAAAACATGCTAGCAATGTGTTAAATCATGCTAGCACACGAGAAAGCATGTTAGCACATTCATGCTAGCAACATGCTAAATAATGTTAAACTCATGATATCAACGTGTTAAATAATGCTAGCAACATGCTAATTCTTGCTGACAATGTGTTTTTAAGCTATTTTAAACTTTTATACAAGGCTTTGTCAAGCCAGCATCCACAAGTTTTCACAAATTTTAGTTATTATTCCCCTTTTCTTACTGAAACCAACAGAATAAACGTTTTCCCTACAGTCTGAATGGTGGATTAGTGGCTTCTGATATTGTTTATATGGTGCTGTGTGACTAATGCCTCTGAGTCAAACACCCTCATAAAGCATAACACACTTATGAATCACCAGGAATTTCATGATTATGTTTTCAAAGCGACCTTCCACAACACTGCCACTCTTTCAACACACACATACTTACATTTTCTAAAGAAAATCAGAGTGGTGTCAGGCAAATCATGGAAAGGTATTCTGGGTTATTTTTAGCATGCTGCTATTAGGTTGATTTCTGAGGTATTCTTTTTCCTTTACAAAGCATCACAAACAAGCTTTCACAAACAGAAAGTGAATCATAACACACATTCTGTCTAAGAAGATAGTAAAGATGTGCATGTCAAGAGCTTCAACTTGACCACACACACCCCAGTAAACGTTCAAGGTCTGAGCAGGGCGTGTTTGTGCACTTACAGACCGCTGTGGACTTTGATAGAGCCGGTGTTCTGGGGAAGGCTGAAACTGCCCACTTCCTCGGTGATATCCACATACTCAAAGCTTCTGCCCATGCCAGTGGGCTCGGTGAACAGCTCGATCCGGGGAGGAGTGTAGTCCTACACACACACACATACAGAAAACACAGCACACAATCCAGTTACTTTTAGCACTTCAGAATGTTTTTAAAGAAGATACTCTTGAGGTTACCTACTCTGATTGCCAGACGAATTGAGCCAATGACCATAGGGGCAGGTGTTTCTTCGCCCTCTTCCGCCCATTGATTGGGCAGTTCGTTAACGATTTCCTCTTCCAGAGCGATGCATCGTCCCTCAAACCCTGGTTTCTCATACAGAATCCAACTGCAATAGGCCAAAGTGCACAATTAAATCTAAACTACTGAAAGGCACATCATCGAGTACTTGATCTCCATCCGTATTTGCTGCTTACCATCCTCTGACCACTTTCACAGATATGACACCGGACAGTTGCATTTGTGTAGCATCAGGTTGTTCCCTGAAGAACTCAAAGGACTGACCGTTGAACTGATGGTGCTCAAATATCACAATCTGACGGAAACAAGATACATTTAATTATCCCAGCAGTTTATGGATCTAACTCTCTGTATGGGGGCGTTTTGAATTATTGCCCGACTGGTACAACAAGTTTCAGTTGATGTACATATTTAAAGCATTAATAAAATTCCCAAAAACTTGGCTCTTGTTATGCAAACATAACAAGACAAGCAGCTTCTGATATTTGAAAATCTCTGTTAGGTCATGACTTTGAAATGTTGGCAAACCTTTGCAGGACGCCGATGGATTCCACGAGCAGCTGGAATCTGAAAAATAAAACACCATGGCCCTCTGTGGTTAGGAGAATAATGCAGGTAATTGTTTTGAAAGACAGTCAAAAATATGATGCAATGATGTCCCAAAGATTTTACCCCTTTGAACATGTTAAACCTTCAAATCTGTTGTCATGTACAAATACAGACATGCATTAATAACACGCTGGCGTGCAGTTCTCTGCAGCTATAAACAAATACACTTCGGGGGTTTACAAAGAAAATAGACATTGGTGATGGACACATACATTTGGGAGTTCTCTCTGAGGTTTAGCTTGAGGGATTTGGGCTTCTGGAACTTGAGGTGGAGGTGGAATCGTAACGTCTTGGGTTTTCCCGTCAGCTACGCCAACAGCCGTATTCAGATCCACTAGACCAGGTATGGAAGCCCTTTCTCTAGCCACCTAACCAATCAAATACACACAAACACTCAAATATGTGACATGTTTTACACTATGAGAAACACTAGCTGGGTATATAAATGTGTGTTGTGATGAATGAATAAATGAGGGATGGCTGACCGTATTTGATGATCGAGTGGTTTCAGGCTCCTTTGGAAGAAATTTGTCTAGGAAACTAGGCATCTTGATGTCTTCAAAGGAAGGAAAGGGTGGAGGAGCACTAGCATCTGTTTTTATAGTGACAATAGGGTCTACTGTGGTTGTTTTCAGGTCAGGCATCAGGGTTGGTCCATCAGGTTGCAGAACAACATCAGAACCAATCTGGATAGTGCTGAGAAGTGGTGGTGTTTTAGTGTCTGTTAACATGGTGACTTGGTCAGGTGTCAGGGTAGGTCCATCATCCTTAGTAGGTTTTAAAACAACCTGGGAAGTAGTCTGCTTACCACTGGGATGTAAAAGTGCATTAGAGTCTGTTAATATAGTAACTGTGGGATCTCTTGAAGTTGTTTTGAGGTCAGGTGTCATGCTAGGTCCATCAGACTGGGTAAATCTAGGTTTAGGAGGATAATTAGTGTCTGTTATCATTGTGACCTGAGGGTTTAATGAAGTTGTTTTCAAGTCAGGTGTTTGCATAGGTCCATCTTCCTTAGTAGGTTTTAGAACAACCTGGGAACCAGTCTGGGTATCACTAAGAGGTGCATTCGATTCTGTTAACATAGTAACTGTGGGATCTTTCAAAGCTGTTTTAAGGTCAGGTGTCTTGATAGGTCCATCATTCTTGGTGTGTTTTAGAACAACCTGCGAACCAGACTGGGTACAACCAGGTGGAGCAGGAGAATTAGTGTCTGTTAACTTTATGACCTGGGGGTCTAATGAAGTTGTTTTCAAGTCAGGTGCTTGCATAAGTCCATCTTCGTTAGTAGGTTTCAGAACAACCTGGGAACCAGTCTTGGTATCACTGGAAGGTACATTAGTGTCTATTACTGCAGTGACTGTTTGGTCCCTTGAAGTTGTTTTGAGGTCAGGAATCATGGCAGGCACAACATCTTTGCTGGGTTTTAGAATAACCTGAGAACCAGACGGGGTAGAGCGGCCATCATTCTTTGCAAGGACTTTCTCTATCATGACCTGTTCGGGTGATTCTGCAGTTGGTGCCAGCTGTGATTGTGGAGTTGGCGTAGGCCCAAGAGCATCGCTGGGTGATAACAGCCCATCTGAAGGACTCTCAGTGGGGCTTAAAAACTCCATGCGTCTCCCTTTGCTAGGGCTGCGGAGAAGGCTAACAATGGAGCACCTCTCCAAACGAGACCTTGTTTTCACTGGTTCTGTTTTCACTGGTTCTGTTTTACTTTCATCTGACCCCTCCTCTTTTTCTCCCTCTTCCTTTTCAGACTCCTTCCTGTTTCTCTGGAAGATCAGGGACCTAGTGAGGATGCTCTCACGCTCAGGTTTTGTCGACTTAGGTTTGGAGTCCTCCTTCTTGGCGTCTGTGTCTTGGCTCTTGGAAACTGAACTGGGAGCTAGATCCAAAATGAATTCCCTCCTTCTCCTCAAACCATACTGGAACTCCTCCGGATCAAAGGGTTTCTCGAAAAGGTCTTCTCTGATGGCTGGAAGGACAAACGGAGGGGCTTTTGGGCGATGATGGTTGTGTTTGCGTTGGGGAAGATTGAACGGCTTTGCTAGCCTTTTCACATTTACAATAAAGTCATCTGGGTCGATTTCTCCCGATGTATCCAGGTTGGTCTTCCTCACAGATGTGCCGAGCTTAGGTTTTGGTTCTGAAATCAACTGCTTCTTTTTTATAGGACGTTGCAGATCCAGATCAAGCCAGCTAGATGGAGAGTCCCTGTTCAGGGAGGAGCTTCCAGGTGCAGAAGGGATTTTTTGAAGGAGGAAGGGTTTGGGGATAAATTCCTTTTTTCTTGTGGCTGGATCTATCGATTTGCTGGAGGGAGATGGGGATTTCTCACTGACTGAGATTTTCTCTTTGGTTGAGGCATCAGGAGGCAATGTCTTTTCCTTGAATGATGATGGTGAAGCCGTATTCTTTTCATTAGTTGAGGAAGGCAAAGTGGAGGTTGTCTTATTGGTTGAGGCTTGTGGTGATGTGGTATTTTCATTAGCTGAGTCTGAAGGAGTTTTCTTTTCTTTGGATGAAGGAAGTGGAGTTATATTCCCTCCATTGGTAGAGAGTAACGGGAACGAAGGTGATGCTGGTGGTAGTGATGTCTTCTCATTTTTAGTAGTCTTATCATTGGAGACTGGTGAATCGGTTGTGGCTGGAGGTGGAGCTTTTTCTTTAGTTGAAGAATTTGTATTGGTTGAGGCTGGCAAAGTGGAGGCTGTCTCATTGGTTGAGGCTGGCGGAGGTGTAGTCTCTTTATTAGTTGAATCTGGGGGAGTTTTAGGTGCTTCGTTAGTTAAGACTAATGGAGGTGTGGTCTTGTAATCACCTGAGCCTAATAAAGTGGAGGTCGATTTAACGGTTGAAGATGGAGAAGGTGTGGTCTTTTCATTTGTTGAGCCTAAAAATGTGGAGGTTATCTCGAAGGTTGATTCTGGTAGAGGTGTGGTCTTTTCTTTAGCTGATGCTGTTGGAGGCGTGGTGTTTTCAATAGTTTTGGCAAGCAATGTGGAGATTGTCTCGTTAGTTGGGGCTGGTGGAGACTTTGCCTTTTCATTGGTTGATGCTAGTGGATGCATGGTCTTTTCACCATTTGTCTTTCTTTTAGCTGAGTCTGATGGAGGTGTTATCTTTACATTAGTTGAGGCTGGTAAACTGGATACTATCTCATTAGTTGAGGCTGGTGGAAGTGTGGCTCTTGGAGGTGTGGTTTTCTCATTGACTGAGTCTGATGGAGTTGTGTTATTTTTATTAGTTGAGGCTGGCAAAGTGGAGGATGTCTTATTGGTGGAGGCTTGTGGAGATGTGATATTTTCATTAGTTGTGCTTTTATTAGCTGAGTCTGATGGAGGTGTTGCCTTTACATCAGTTGAGGCTGGTAAACTGGATATTATCTCATTAGTTGAGGCTGGTAAACTGGATATTATCTCAGTTGAGGCTGTTGGAAGTGTGGCTCTTGGAGGTGTGGTTTTCTCATTGATTGAGTCTGATGGAGGTGTTGCCTTTACATCAGTTGAGGCTGGTAAACTGGATATTATCTCATTAGTTGAGGCTGGTAAACTGGATATTATCTCAGTTGAGGCTGTTGGAAGTGTGGCTCTTGGAGGTGTGGTTTTCTCATTGATTGAGTCTGATGGAGGTGTTGCCTTTACATCAGTTGAGGCTGGTAAACTGGATATTATCTCATTAGTTGAGGCTGGTAAACTGGATATTATCTCAGTTGAGGCTGTTGGAAGTGTGGCTCTTGGAGGTGTGGTTTTCTCATTGATTGAGTCTGATGGAGGTGTTGTCTTTACATCAGTTGAGGCTGGTAAACTGGATATTATCTCATTAGTTGAGGCTGAAGGTGTGGTTATCTCATTGATTGAGTCTGATGGAGTTTTGTTCTTTCCATTAGTTGAGGCTGGTGGAGGTTTGATCATGTCGTCACTGGAGCCTAATGAAGCAGAGGTTGTCTCAAGGGTTGATGCTAGTGGAGGCATAGTCTTTTCATTAGTTGAGGCTGGCAAAGTGGATGTTGTCTTATTGGTGGAGGCTTGTGGAGATGTGGTATTTTCATTAGTTGTGCTAGCCAATTCTGATGGAGTTGTGTTCCTATCATTAGTTGAGGCTGGTGGAGGTTTATCACTGGAGCCTAATGAAGCAGAGGTTGTCTCAAGGGTTGATGCCGGTGGAGGCATAGTCTTTTCATTAGTTAAGGCAGGCAAAGTGGAGGTTGTCTCATTGGTTGAGGCTTGTGGTGTCTTTTCATTAGCTGAGTCTTCCTTAGGTAAAACTAAAGATGTGCTCTTGTCATCACTTGAGGCTGGTAAACTGGAGACTGTCTCATTTGTTGATGCTGGTTTAGAGATAACCTTTTCACCGGCCTGGCCAGACTGCTCGATAGATGCTTCATTGGCTGTGGATGACGATGAAGTGGGCTTCTTTTTCACAGAGCGCAGAGATAGATTCTCATTATTGGTTGGTATTACAGGAAAAGTATTATCAGACAACTGATCTTCTGTCTCTGCAGAGTTTATGTCGCCATTTACTATGGATGTAATTTCTGTACTAGTGATTTTACTCTTGGTTTTGTTTGTGTCTCCATCTTTAGCTTCAGTGCTGGTCTTTTGTTGTTGTTGTTGTTGTTGTAAATCCCTTTTACTGGAAGCTTTTCGGCTCTCTGATTGGCTTTGTTGCCTGTCTCTTTTGGGACCGCCTCTCTCTATAGGTGGAATATGAGGTGAAATTATAGTGTCCGCTTCATCATTTAGTTTTTTTACCAGTGCAGGGTTCGGTGTTGCCAGTGCCCTACTTGTAGAAGCATCCTTTTCTTTAGTCTGATCCTTCAATTCAGTAGAAGAGTTTTTCTCTGTGTTCTGCATTTCTTTACCCTGACTGGTTGCCATAATTGTAGTGTCTTCTTGTTTAATCTCTTTGGGCTTTACGGCTAAGCTGTCCTTTGATTTACCTTGTTTAGTTGTCTTCGTTGTAATTTCACCTTCTATATTTTGCTCGGTTGGCTTTGATGTGTTGACTTCATTGCTGTGTTTGTGTGTCTCAGTTGTTTTCAGTTGTTCGGTTGCTTCTGTACTCTGATTGTTTACCTCAGTCAAACAGTCTTTTTCTTTACTCTTATGGTTTGGCTTTGATGGTCTTTGTGCCTCGTCTGATTTTGGGTCATTTTTCGCTTTTTGCACACACGTAGTGCTGTCTTTCTCAGGTAAGACCAACATATCTGTCTCACTCTCTCTGTTCCGCTTGGCATCTTTCCTAGAAGATGCATTGCTGCTATTGGCTGGCACCAAGAAGTCTTTAGAGTCCTCCGGGGATGGTGGTTTCTCTTCATTTGTCACAGATGGATCCAGTTTCCCTGACTCTCTAAACAATGTGTTTACAATCGGGTCTCTGTTCTTCCGCCCCTCTCCTTCTGAGCTCTCTTGAACAGGCTGCTTTTTGTTGCTGTTTTTCTGTTGCTCTTCAGTTTTTGAGTCAATGCCTGTCCGCTCTATATTCACTTCATTCGAGCTGTTCTCAGTTTGAGAGACGGATACCTTGTAAGCAGTCACTATCTGTGCTTCAAAGTCATTCCTACTCTCTCTCTCCTTCTTATCCATGCTTTTCATTTCTTTGAGACCTTCTGTGTCCATATGTGGAGACTTTTGTAACGTCTTTGAGTCTGTGTTTGATGTTGCCTTCATGCTTTGCATTATATCTCCTGCTTTCTCCAACTTTGAAGGGATTTTAGGCTCATCACCAGAAGTGCTTTTCACATACTGGTCTGTGGTCTTTACAACGTCTCCCGCATCTATAAGAGGTTTTGGGGTTATATTACACGCTGTGTCGCTCTTCTTGTCCTTGACCTCCTGTTTACCTTGACCCATTTCTTGCTTGTTCTTGCTGGTGGGGCTGAGCGGTTCTTTGCTTCGTCTTTTTTTAGATCGCGAGCCTGTCCGGTTTGGAGATTTCACCGGCGGGCTCTCGTCAATAGGAGATGAAACTGTCGGTGCAGAACAACTCGCTTTACCCAACTCTTTATTCCCAATGTTCGAGTCACTAGTGCTCTCAGGTTTGCTTTGTGTTGCATTGTGGGATTTGGAGTCCGTTTGATCTATGGGTTTGGGTTCTCCGCTGGTATTTGCTGTAGATTTTTCAAAACTTCCTGAACAAGATGCTTCAGTACGATTAGCTGTTTTTAAAAGTCCTTCGCTCAATGCATGACCAGACACTCCAGACGACAATGTTAACTTCTCTTCTCCCCTCTGTCCTGCAGAGAAATTCATTGCTCTCTCTTTAACCGTTTGTTTCGGAGGTGCAGAACTGGATCGCGTTCCGGCATCTTCTTTGAGTCGAATAGCCACATTTCGAGCTGGAGAAATATCCAGATGACGCAGGTTTGTGGAGCTACTGACAGCTTTGGTCGCTCCTCTTTCAAACAGACTGATCTTGTCTGCGATTCGTCCCTTTTGATGACTGGACTTCACATTAGTGCCGTCCACTCTGTCCTCTGGACATCTGTAAAATAACAAACAATAAAGGTCAAAAGGGCAAAAAAGGTTAATGTGCTTTTGATGAATTTTATGATGTTTACTTTATTCATATTAGCATCCACTCCCTTCATTAGTTGTTTACTCATTGTGTCTTTCTTTCCGCGTTCTCTATCCTTTGTTCTTTATATCTTTGAAGCAAACCACAAACTGTATGACTTCCCGTTCTTCAGCACATTTGGATTTTCGCTTTAATAGAAAGTGACTAACAAAAACACGTACTGCAAGACATTATTTCAAAAGTTGCAAAGATTATTAGATCATTCAAAGCATATTTCACTTCCCTTTTCCCTACTTTGAAAGTGAATGAGTTTGCTTCAAAAAAGCATAAATAAATGTATAATGAAAGTCATTCATATGACTCTTTCATATGACTCTTGCGCACTATTCAACTATTCAAGGGTTACGGTAGATTTGTGTGAGGATGAGATTTGCGAGCTGCAACCGAGAGAGAGAGACTAAATTATTAGTAAATAACAATAAATCAGTAATAAATGGTACCAAAAGTTGGTCCGTTCCTCACCCAGGACTGTCATATGCAGGAGTCACGTGGACTGCTGTTATGATATTGTTTAAAAAAAAATCTTGAATGAACTTCAAAATAGATCTTGTTTTCAGCTAAATAAATGAATCAGAGGTTTTGGAATGACGTGAGGGTGAGTAATTAAATTTATTTTTAATTTTTAGGTGAACTGTTCTTTTAGGAGTAGAAAAGCACAAAGCTGCCATCTAGAAAAACTGGCATTTAACTATGCAAGCACTTAATTGGTATGAAAATGGCTCTTTTAAATGCAGAAAGCTCTTTGTAAAAGGTCAGGAACATTAACCAACAGGAATTACAAGAACCTGATAATAATGAGCACATATTTCACAACATGACGCATGGTGTTTTACCCTGATCATCTCTGAGAAAGTTTTCCCACGTTTAGTTAAAGTTCCATTTTAAACATAAACTGGTAACACTTTACAATACGTTTCATTAGTTAACTACATTAGTTAGCATGAACTAATAATGAACTGCACGTATACAGCATTTATTAATCTTTCTTAATGTTAATTTCAACATTTACTAATACTTTATTAAAATATTGCTAACATTAGTTAATGCACTGTGAACTAACATGAACATCTTTATTTGTATTATAACTAACATTAAAAAAGATGAACAAATAAAGTAACAAATGTATTGCTCATGGTTAGTTCATGTTAGTTAATTAATGCACCTTATTGTAAAGCGTTACCCATAAACTGTTAAAGTGTTCACAGATCAAATAAACACAAAAGGGCTTTCAAAAGTATATAGTGTTTGTTAGTTATTTCTGTAAGCACATGAGCAAAACAAACAGGTTAAACGGGTAATTTTACCTGGCTTTCTCATCAGATCTCGGCCATTTAGGATCCGTGGTGCTTTTAAACGTCCCTTGAGGATCTTCATTTGAAACCAGCAGCTTTTTAGCAAAGATCTTCTCGCTGTGAGACACTTTGATACTCCTGCGTTTGGATTCAGCGCTCTCGGTCATTCTCACCACAGGTTCCTCGTCCATGATGTCTGCTTCAGTGACCGGTGAGCTCGGGGAATCAGTCTTGTCCTCGCTCAGGTGTGTTTCCACACATTCTGCTCGGACAAAATCCTCACGACTACCTGAGTTTGGCGCTTCTGCTCCGGAGCATTCCTGAACGTCGTTTTCCGCCTCAAAAGCTGAGTCAGCACATGCCGACTGTGGGCTGGTTGCCAAACTGGTTGCTACAGGACTATCAGGCTGAGGATTGGTTGGTGATTTAGTTTGAGCCCCGCCCACATCTCCATGAGAGCCCCGCCTCCTCCTTCCAGATCTCCTGCGTCCCATTTGCTCTGTGTTATCTTGATCAGAGAAGTCAGGAGTTGATCTGCTTCTGTTACTCTCAAACGAATGACTACGTTTGCTTCTTTTTACAACGGTCTTGTCGTTTTCACTTCTTCTTCTTTGCTCTCGGCACACCTGGGTTCTCGCATGTTGGGCATTCCGGCTCGGGGAAGGGCTTTTCTCTGCTGGAGCGGGTTCATCTACTGCAGGACTGTTTCTCTCATGTGCACCAGCAGTTCCTCTGTTGTCCTCGTCAGACGCCTCCTCTCGCTGTGTTTCGGAGTCGGGATCATCTCCGCTCAGAGCCGGGCCGCTCCAACCCCACGCCAACCAGCTCCCAATGCGACTCAACACCCCTGGGCTGCGCTCCTGTGGACTCTCAGCCTACAAACACACAACACATGCAAAATCATGAGGGATTGATCTGTAACACACTTAATGTTGTTTTCAGGCTCTACTAGAACAGCTTTTCCTGCTTGAATGTTGATTATTTTCCTCATATTCTCCATTGTTGCGGCTCCTCTCTTCCCAGTCTGTCAGTAACGCTCTGTTTACTTCCTGTCTCTATGAAGCCCCTCCTCCTGAAAAGCACACTGTGCTCTGATTGGTCGGCTGGATCGAGCGCTTCGAGTGTAATTGGGAAATGTCCCGCACCTTAATTTCAGTTTCAACACACTACTAACTAACTCAACCAGGCCCCGCCCCTTTATTCTGCATATTAATTATTTAAATTAGGAATATTGTGACGTGTTCGTTCCTGGAAGAAACTCAAGACTACAATGGAGGCGTTTCAGGGAGTTCAGAAACACTGAAACTCATATAGAGAATAACTAAGAGCTTTTTCAAACGGCAACATTTAAAGCATTAACCAAACACTAAGATATTCTCCAATTCATTTTTCAAATAAAATTCACTCAGTATGTTTATCATGTAATTTGCAATGAAAATTGTAATTGAAAACCCCACTATTATATCCTAATGCTCGAAAATTAGATGTTCAAAAATATATGACATACTATGTTTTACATATATTTATAATAATATTATATAAACGTAAAATTTATAATAATATAATATATATATAAAGTATTACACAATATTTAATTTACATCTCTTAAAATATTTGAAAACCGAACACATAATTGACAAGTTTGACAGAACGACACAATCTGTTAAACACCTAATGCTTAAATCAAATGTCAAAATAGGACATTATGAAGGTTTATTAAATAACCATCACTGCAATCAAAGATTAATTTGACACTTTTTGAAGGAGACCCATATTGTTATACAGAAACAGCTATTTTGGATTTAATATGGATTAAAATGACATTTTTCTGCAACTAATGGTATCCACACAGTGTCTAATAAACTAAACAAAGTGTGCCAGAGATTGTTTTCTCTCTCTCCATAGAAGTACAGTCAGTCTGAGAAAACATTTAAACGTTCCCCAGCGAACAGCGAACGTTCTGCCAAGGTTCTCTCACAGTTATAAACAAACATTCTTCCAGTGACGTTAATAGAACGTTCGTTCAAAGTTATCTCTTCAATAATGCTCTCAGAACGTTAGAACAAAAACATCATTCATTTTATTTCAAAAACGTTTCAGTTGGATGTGTATCTATAACGTTTAAAAAAAAAATGTTTCGACTTGTTTCAGAACGTTCAGATTCAAAAGTAACGTTCCAATAATGTTTGAAGAATGATGCAATGGAATGTTCCCTCAACGTTCACAGAACCAAGAAATGCGTTGTTAAAACATTTAAAAACAGCTACAGAAGTAACGTTTACATAACTAAATGCCAACGTCACCAGTTAGAATAGCGTATACTTTTGTTAGCTAACACAGGATTTGGACAAATTAAAAACGGAGAAAAATATTAATAATAATAAAGGAACGGGGAAAGTTTTCATATTCATCATCAAATTGCATTAATCTCGCAAAACTCACTGTCCGGATCGTTGGCGCGCGGAACACCCAGAGAAGCGCGTCTTTCGTCCCGCCAGCGAGAGTCGTGAAATGATCCAGCCCTGCGACTCAATGAATCCTCAATGAATGATCGATAAAAGCGATCAGGAATGAACGTCCGGATCAATAAGATAACGCTTGAGGATCGTTAATTATTAGTGATCTGCTGCAGGACGCGCGCAGAAGCTCTTCAGTGACGCGCGCGCGAGGAGAGAGAGACTGAGAGAGAGGATTGAGTTTCAGAGGATCAGATGAACCCAATCCAACACAATGAACAAGAGAACGGTCACTAAACACTTCAGTTTTCCAGCCTCCCAAAGTGAGTTTAACACAGTGATGCTCACAGCTGCCGTCATGCTAGTCATTTCATTTTATATTATAAACGTAGGCCTATTTAAAATGAAGAAAGCTGTTTTCATGATCATGCATGCTTATTTTTATTTGTAAAAACCCTGTGTGCAGCAAATTATCTCCTTAAAGTATTTTGTAAACTGTTTTAAACATGACTTTAGGTTCTCGTCACTAAGAAACTCCAAGCAACTTTCTTCCAAGGTTAGTTATTGGTAACAAAACCTAGAGAACGCTCCTGGAGAGTCATTCAAATAACATATGGGAAACCTTCCAATTTCCAATGAGACGTTATTTCTAAGCACAATAATCAATATATTTAGGCCAAATCCATTTATTTTCAAACAACTTATATACTAGGAAAGCCCAATACTCACAGAGTTGAAAGTGTCAGAGATGAACGCTATCGGAACGCACTGATGCTGGAGTCTCGCGTAAAGAGGAAGAGAAAGCGCAAACGTTTGCTCTAAGTATTTACCTGCTTCTACATGCACGTCACACCCACACCTGTCCTGCTCGTGCACAGACCTGTTCACGATCTAAGCCTTTCTGACCATGCAGTCAAGTGTGTAAACAATGAGGAACTCACCATGATCAGCGTTGAGTTCAGCGTTCGCGTTCACCTGTGAGGATCCATCGGTCGAGCTGTGCAGAACAGGCCGAGAACAGAGGACACGACAGGTATCAGGACACGACAGGTCTCGACTGTGGCCAGAGAACACGACAGGTATATCGACTGTTGTGCAACGGCTTCAGTCTGATAAACACACACACACACGCTGAATTATTCATGCAATCGAGGCCAACACACACACACACACACACACACCTACGGTTAGACTCTGGCCTCTAACACTTTAATGAGCTGAGATAGTTCATGAAAACACATGAAGATAGTCTTAGCGTTCACACACACACACACACACACACACACACACACACACACACACACACACACACACACACGTGTCTGTGGGAACATGCTTTGACTGGATGTTATAGGTTTATGGGTTTACAACTAACCCGGGCTAGTTGTAACTTAACACACTCGTTTTGAATAGGCTACTTCCACACATGCTAGCATAGCATGACGAAACTTAGTGTATTAGTAGGTTAGTTGCCATATCAACACTATATTGAGAAAAAAATGCGCCAAAATTCAGAAATCTTTGGAAGATATCACTGAACATTTATTTAACCATAGCAAAAGTACATTTCTTATGTTAATTTTTCATCTCTGTTTTTTGTGTTTATTTACAATTAGACAAATCTGATATTATTTTAATCTTATCTGTTATTTAACAGCTGAGATGGTTCTTTAATGCTTCGCTAACCAGAAGACACTATGTGACTAGCATTAATGCTGCAGGAATGGCTGTTTAACTCTTTTCTCAATGCACACGCGTACAGTTGAAGAGAGGAACATTCATGCAAGCGTATAATAACTTGGTTTCCGTAGTTTGACTCAACAGTATGTCTGAAGCCGCTCACTCTGGTCTCTGGGAGTGTTTTGTAATGCCTGCCGTGACTCACTTTAACCGCACATACTCAGTTCCTGCTCTCGGCAATGGAATCCAGATGGCAGAGCAGATTCTCCATGTGTAACCAGCAAA